ATTTGGGCAAAGTTTAGACAGTCTCCTGACATGCGAAAGAAGACTGCATATAAAATACTTTTTTATTGATTTATTGGCCAATCAATTTATATCCACCACCTGCCATATTGGTTGAGCAGAAAATTAGAACAACTGGAGCATTGTTTTAATACGTATGGTAATTCTTGGGCCTATGATGGTGATATAGCCACAATATTTTGGGATCAAGTTCTGAATTAACAATGCTGATTTCTGCTATTCTGAACAGATTTCAACAGTTATTACTTGCCAATAAACTAACTCCTATTTTAAAGCTTTTACAGCTATGTGAATTACACTAAACAATATTTCACCCAAAGTATCCTTTATTTATTTATATTATTTTTATTTTGTAATAATTTAATATAATTTATTATACTAATAGTTGTATTAATGTAAATAATATAATTGTACAATTTTACCTTTAGTAAAATCATATGTAATAGGATAATTTTACATACATAACATTTTAATTTATAATCTCTTTGTATTGGTTGCAAAACAGAACCTGTGTTGCAAGACTAAAGCAATCAAAAAACTATTTTTACATACATTTTGATTGTCTGTGTGAATAAGGATGCAACCATATTATAGAACACTAATGTATTCTTACATAGTATATTGTACTACTTTCTGATGCAATCTCATGCAACGTATTTATATAATGAACTTTATCCAAAAGTATTAATAATTTATATTTCAAAAGGATTTACAAATGCTGTCCGCGATATTTGACTCAGGACTGGTCCTCTGCATGTAAATGTAGTGTAGTCAACTTCTTCCCAAATTTAGGAGTCAATTTTAAATGCATTTAATTTGAGATTAAAAATGAAATGGATTAGGCAAATGCAAGAGTGCAACATTGATCCCTTACCACAAAAACCTGAGAATCTTTGTTTTATCTATGTCTAATTTCCTGGGTTTTTTTTTAAAAAAAATTGTTTAGGTTTTGTTTGTTTGTTTCTGTACCCATTAACAAAATAATCTTACCATTCTTCATTCATCTCTTCCAACCCTCCCAATCACAAATCATTTAATAGTACTTGAATGTTTTGCTGGTTTCAAGGTAATAAACTTTATTCATACCCATTGCAAAAAAAGACTTGGGAGGGGTTTTTTTTTCCTCCCTTTTTTATTTGCTACAATCTGTTCAGTGTCACTATATTAAGAACAGCAACATGGCTCCAAAGCTGAAGTCTGGGAAGCTGTACATCAGGCACACTTTAGCAGATTTATGTCATCAACTCCCACACAGTATCAATCATTCCCAAGATCATAATTTGCTACCAAAGCAAAAGCTGTACTGAAATCACCAGGACAGACTTTAAACCAAGCCAGTTGAAAGTTTTCAGTTGCCATGGAGGAATTAGGAGTGGGGGGTGAGTGGTTGAGGTTAAATAATTCTCAGCAAACTCTCCCAAAGGAGTTATGGAAGGGGGGGGCAATGTTGCCATCAGCACAAACACAAGATGTCTCTGTTAAAGAAACCAGGATGCATTCTGAGACAAATAAACACAGATTTATCAGTCTGGCTGCAATTTTATGAAGTGCAACATTAGCTCTTTTCTGTCTCTTTCCAATCTAGATCAGATAAACAGATGCATCCGGGACTGCATATGTCAGGGTATATGATCAGTAGCAATGGCCAGGAGCATTTCAAAGCATTTCAGGGTTCTTTCACTTTGTTTTCATATCAGCATTTTCAGATGTCAAAAAGCCATTGGCACAGCAGTTAGGCCTTTTTATTATACCAATTCTTAAAATATATTTCAATACAGAGAAGGGGAAATACCGTGTTCTTTTCTAGTTCAAGAAGAATTGCAATTCCTATTAGGACATGATAATTTGGTAGTAGTGAAAGACCTAGTCCTTCCATGTTCTTTGCTCTATCAAGCAGGCACACAAGCACAGAGGCAACAAGTCAAAATGTGGCCCAATGCCTGTCTGTGGCTTCATCTTCATTTTCAAGAATGCCTCTGGGATAATGAGGTTTATACATCCTATAATTCAATATTCCATTACTTACCCTAGGGTTACCTTAGGAATTATCCTAAAGACAACCTACTATTTCAGATTTTATACTGTAATATCCAAAATTAATGTCACCCTCTGTATATTAAATGAAAAGTGGAATGTAAAAATCCGTGACTCCAACCAGGTTTCAAAATTTGCTATCATGATAATTTTTAGCTTCCAACTTTCACATGAGGACTGTCTCTTTTCTACTTCTAAATGCAGAAATCTCCTACAGGTGCTAATTCCCACCTGTTGTAAAATGATATCCCACTCTGACAACTTTTATTTACTATAGGAAACCATTTCTCCTTTGGTATTTTAATGATCACAGGACTAATAATTATTTTGGGAAGATTCTGCAGAAAAAATATGACCACCTAATGGATCAGCCCCCAATGGGGCCTCAGAATTATACCCCATTCTATATTTTCCAGAGCATAATGACATGTTCCAGCACAAATTATGCTCTGGAAAACAAACAGAGAATGTATATATGCATGTTTATGTGTACAGGTTCTCTCAGAAAGAATATTTGTGGTTGGTTTTTCTCTTCTTCTTCTCCTCAAACATCTTAATGTTTAATGTTTGTTTAAATTTTTGGGGAAGTCATCAAAAGTAGCTGCCATCAATCTCCAAACTTGTAAAAGTCAACCGAAGGAGGCAGAAATAGTTTAAAAAATGTGTTAAGCTAAGAGAATCATATGGAACTTTTTAAAGGAATGTATCAAGGGAATTTGCAAACTGTAACCTCCTACAACTGCAGGAAAGGCTACTGAAAGTGTGAATTAATTTAACACAGAATTTGTCCTCAGCCATTCTTAAGAAATTAACAGACAGTGGGGAAGTGTAGAGAACAGAGTAGCATGCAAAATTATAAATCAACACAAGAGAACTGGAAGGTGCACTTGAAAAGCTTGACATCATTTTAAAATACTCTAGACAGGATGATTGATTTTTCCATAGGGGAAAAGATGTGCAAAGTGGGGGAGGGAAGCAAAGGAAGAGCCTATCATGTTCAAAAGGTCATGAGAAGAAGCAGAGCAGAAAAAAGCATTTGATCAAAGACAAGCTGCCAAATCTGTGTGCTAAGATATTGCCAGTTAAGTAAAAGATGTTTAAGATAAAAACATCTACAGCTGCATTGCAATATGGAAAATTGGAACTTAATGAATACAAAGTTAGAATTGGTCATCTACATTTTCTTCTTTGATAGCTTCTTCAATTGTTCACAAAGAAAGTTTGCATCTCAGGTACATGCTATAAATACATTATGTATATTCATGTGCTCTGTAGTTGCCAATTTGCCTGTTCCTAATTATGATGACATCAAAATGATGCAACATGATACCATGATCTAAGTTTTGCCCTTTCAGATTAAAACCATGAATATCAGCTAGCAGTTGGAAAACAGGATACAAATTCCTTAATTTCTCTCCACAATTTTAGTAGAGAAACTTTGCATTTTTGACCAAGCCAAATCCATAAAATGCTAGGGAATTTTTGGCAGCTTGACATTCAGTAAATCAGCCATCAACAGACACATAGAGATAAACTCCATCCACATACCATTTAAAAGATAGCACCAAAAGTCAACTAAGAAAACAAACATCACTCATAGCAGCCAACATCCAAATAAACAACCAGAAGAAACTATATCCAAGCAACAATCAATGAAGAAACTACAATCAAGACTGATAATGCAAACTAGTAAACACTAGCAATCAGCAAATATTCCTTTTTTATGAACAGATGATGTTATCTAGCCTGGTAATGAAATGTCTGCAGAAAAAAAAGCAATTAAGTTGAGAGGAAACTAAATTAGTTGGTTGATGTCTCAACACTATACACATAAAGCTACTTGGAATAGGTTGGAAAGATTTTGTGCACAAGGCCATAAAAGTGTGAGAATAATGTTCATGGGAAACAAAGAATGTTTTGTGGAATGCTGAAGAAAAGCATGCTATGGAACAGCAGAAAAGGAAAAATAGGAGACATATAAAATAAATATTGAAGTATAATCGTTGCCCATGGTCTTGCATGCCACTTGTATAACATGTATCAACACTACAATACCTTATAATTAGGAAAAAGTTAAATCCGAAGTGGGATTAATTTGTGAAGGCTGCTGGAAGTTTTGTCACAGTAGGAATGACTTAAATTTTGGTAAAGGGCTGTTCTTTTTTACCAGATAAAGGATAAGCAGATTTGATTTTTTCCTTAACATCATTTACAAATTTATGAAAATGAGAAAGTTTATGTACATTTTTTGATTTAGAGAAATCCGGTGACAAAATGAATTAGCTTGAATTATGGAAGTTTTACTATAACGATTCAGTTGAAAATTGGTTGCTAAATGCAATGAGAGCAATATGACAGAAATCAAGCATATGTGAGACAAAATAGAATGTCCAGCCAATCAGTTAACATTAAGTAGGAATGAAATGAAGATGCATAATTATCTTAATAGTTTCATGTATTAATAAGAAATGCTTGTGATATCACAAGTAGCTGTAGACAAATGTATATGTACTTTTATACCGCAATGATTCTATGTTATTATTAGACAATGCAAATTATTTTCCTCAAATATTGTATGCAATGATATAGTATGTATTTGAGAATCAATATATCTAAAACTAAGGATGACAAGGAAAGTGGCAGGTTTATAAATACATGGCAAAAACCTAGAACAAGTATAATTATGATACCTTGGTAGAATGATTACTAAAGTTAAGAGAATGGATAGAGGAAGCTGGTAAAAAGATATGAATGGATGTTGTAAGAAGTTTGTCAAAATAATATAAAATGGCAGCATACAACAGCATATTACTGCCAGTTTTGCTGTTTGGAAATAAGAGTTGATATGTTCAGAGAAACATAAACACTGTGTTGAATACAGGAAAAATTGGATGCTTAAAAAAAGAAAAAATGGGATCCAGAATGAATAGATATTAATAAGTGAGAACTGATTATAAAGGTCACTGAAGAGTACAGAAGCATATGCATGGTTTGTGGCAAATTAAAAAAAAATGAGGACCACATATATGAAAAAGATTAAGGGTTCAAAATTAAGAAAAGACTATTGCACTATGTTTAAATAAAGTTAAGATTTTGAGAAATAGTGAGGTGAAGTTTTAAAAATAAATAATACATGAAACAATGATTATAGCGAAAATACTTTAAGAATGATTTGCGAGAACAGAAATAGAGGTGTGAATGAAATGTTTAATTTAATTGGTTTACAATTTCTTATACCTTCTCCACACACTGGGCATACAGTTTCTATGTGGCTTGTAAATGAAAAACTCCTGATGACTTTTCCACAATTTTTATTATGTAAGCATAGGATCTATTATCAATATATAAAACAATACTCCACCCTGTGGCATTAGAGAACAGCAATATAAAACAGTCTTAGATTTTAATACACAAGGTTTGACATTCTTAAAAATACTGGGTAATAAGTAGAAATAATTTGGAGACAGGGTTCCCCTATATAAAAATGTTTTGAGAAAGTTTCAAATTGAAATAAATCCTAAAAGCATTTTACAAATTTCTGCTATAAAAATATAAGTAAATACAATAAGCTTGAATGGGGAAACATTCAAATATCACAATGAAACCTGTACATGGGAAAGTAGGGTTCCTCTGCTGCTCATGATTTTTTAAAATATTGCTACAATATTTCTAGATTTTTTTTAAAAAAAAGTTTAGTAGCTTCCTCCTAATATTTGGACCTATGCCCATTGTCTCCTCACTCTAGGACAATAGCAAACTGGAACAGCATAGAACTTGTGAAAAGTAGTCATTTTGTGATAGGTAATTCCTCTAAAAGGAAGTAATTCTCAAAGAATTCCAGAACATGATCCAAAAATTCAGAACGTTTCTCCTTTTCTTTTTCTGTTCTTATCCGATATAAAACATTATTTACCATCCATATTTCCTTCTTAGTGATGCGGTGGCCTAGAGGTGGAGCTTTCACCTCACAATTAGGAGCTGAGTTCGATCCTAGGTAAAGGCAGATATTTATCTCTCAGGGCACACTGAGAATATATCTGCTGGGTGGGGGACTCCGCAATGGTGCCAGGAAGGGTATCCAGCCACTAAACACTCAGCTGCATTCAGGTGTCCTTGTCCCGCAAGGTATTATGGAGTCATTTGATGATTTCCCTCTTGAGAATTATATCGTAAACATTTTTCGTAATTTTAAAAACATATTTTATAGCTGTGAAGGAAATCAAGACTAGAAATTTATGCATGCTTACTGAGATTAACATAAGTCTACCTCACTAATTGGGAATTAATTCTTAATAAAGATGAGCAGAACAATATACTGTATGTTTTTTTCTGTAATAAATAGAAACATGCACATCTTAGTTATGGCAGTAAGGCAAGAACATTCAGTTTTGATGTTTAAAATGTATGAATTTGGTTAATATATGAATTTGGTTAGCCTTTATTTGTTTATGAAATAGTCTAATTGTATCAGTCTGTGACCTGTTGGGTAAGTACGGTAGCTTGTGCAGGTTATATATTGCACACACGAAACCATCTCCCCCCATTACCACTGCCAATCCATGAGGCAGAAAGATTGGGGACTTGTGTTATAAATTAATACAATCAAAACTGATGAGTCATGATTAAAGAAACCTAATTGTTTTAAAAATAATATTTTTCTTCATCTAGCCTCTAACAGGATAGCATATTGATCATTACAGTAAAAGCTTTCTCTCACTAAAGTAATCCCGCTTAATTTAGTCTTACCAGTATCTGAGTGATGGGTTATTACTGAATAAACTAAGTTAAGGGTGTCAAACTCGATTGCGTCACGTGACGTATTATTTTTTCCTTTGCGGAACCGCGGTGGGCATGACCTGTGTGTGACTCATCCAGCCTACGGGCCGAAAGTTTGACACCCCTGGTCTACGTTTTTAAATCGATGGAACATATAGCAGTTCAATTTGGAACATGATCCTTCCCAAATTTCTCAACTTTCTTTCTCCTTTTATTTATGCTTTGGACTTGCATTTAAATACTAATACTACTAACTTTGGCAAGTCTTTATTTCCTATTTGTTGTCTGCAGCACTCTAGTATTGCTTAATTATCTTTGGAGCTTGTTTGCATCTTGTGATATTCAGATAGTTTAAAGTTATAACAGTTCATTGTTATGTGTCTGTTCTGAATTTGTGTTCCAAGTTATTTGTGAGGATGGGTTGGGTAGGAAGATATTGTGAAAATAAGAAAAATATATCTGACTGGCCACCCTTGCATCTGGAGGGGAAAAAATGCCTTGGTGGACTTCCCACTTAGGATTCAATGGAATGTGCAGTCCATTGTGCTGCAGACCATTAAACCCAGAGGTGAACAAAGAAAGTATATGCCGCCCCCCCTCCCCTGGTTATATAGTAAGGAAGGTAAAAGCTGGATTTCCATATTTTTCCACTGAGATTGCCAGGTGTTTTTCCCCTTTAATCACAAATCCACCCTATATTGTGAAAAACATCTTCATTCATTTAAAAGCCATTTATTTCACATTAACACAAAACCTCAGTTGAGTTGCCACGTTTCAGTCATCAATTTTATGTGGAACTGAGAAATCATAATTTCTTTTTTTTTTTCACAATGGACTATAATCTCACAGTTATGGTTGAAGATGATATATAGTTTTCAAGTGTTTTCACAGAGCTTTACATCTGATTGGATTCTGCTCATTCTGAAGTTTTAAACCCATGGTAACAATAAAAATATAAACTCTGGGTCATTTTAGATGGCAGCCAACAGCATTCCTTTGGCAGGAAAATGTCTACATTACATATTTAATATTTTAATGCACAAATCAAGCCTCTAACTTCAGCTTGTGAGCACCGTGTTAACAATGTAAAGTAACAAACTAAAATAGTTGTTAGTGTGATCCAGTTGAGCTCTTTTCTTCTGTAAAAGAGAGCATTTACTGTTTATCCTATAGAAAGTATCTTTTTTTAGACTTTTTAAAGGTTTTTTAATCCCACCTATATTATTTTTATAAATAACTCAAAACAGTGAAAATATCTTTCTTCCTATTTTTCCTACAACAATCCTACGAAGTGACTTGAGTGAAGAATCACCTAGCTGGCATTACTTATATATAATCTCTCTTACTTTCTTAAGCTTTATGACCAGTTAGGAATGTTACATCATACTCTAACATGCAAAGTTTAACTTGACTTACCCATAGACACATGAAGATTGCAAGGAGGGGAATTTCCCTGACTTTAAATACTGAATATCTTACTTGGTATTTTTATATATATTGACCACTAGTATATAGTATATATCTATGTCCAAACACAGTAATTTGTGACTCTGTTACCGATACCACCCATTTATTTGTTTTCTGGCCCTCCATGACATTCTCAGAAGTCTTCTCCAGTACTAATTTCAAAAGCATGTTATTTCTATCTTGCTTTTTCAAAACCCAACTTCCATTTCCTGGGGAGGAGGACCTGCTGCTTGTCCAATTCTGATATGATGCATAATCATCATGTTAATGGCCTATGAATTCAATTCCTGGTGAAAGTTTGAACTGCACAGCTGAATCTATCACTATATATATCTGGTGAACCTCAAAGAGGACAAAACTGGTTGCATACTATCTCCTAGAATTTACCTGAAAAGTGAATCCTTTTCTTTATGTTTCTGTATTTAAATGATTCAAAAACACAATATACACAGTACAAGTATTCCTATATACGATTGATACTACGGGTCATAGTATTTTAAGTTCTTGGTATTTTAACTCCTAAGTGGCTATCTAGTCTTTTTAAACATTTAATGAAGGGATGTCCACTTTCTTCCAAGATGTTGTTCTATTGTTTAAAAACTTTGTAGGCAAGAGTACCCAACATTTAAGATATATTTTGTTTGTTTAAACCCATTGATTAGAGTTAAAAAATTGTAGAAAATGTATACATTCATCTGTATGACAATTTATTAAATCATTAAAATTTCTTTTCAAAACTATTTGTAGTAATAGAATACTCTAAAAAGACTATTACTATTTCTTTTCAAACTGAGTGCCATATTAGAAATTTAAGAAGTTGTGAAGATTTTCACAAAATAGCAAATGAAATGGCATGACTACCAAAGAACATAATTAACTACAAAACATGGATTTATCAAGGTTCTAAGTTGCCTCCTTTTTAATAATATAAAGAACCAAAGACCCTTCCTATTGCACCAACTTATTTTTTTCATTTTCTTGTAGTAATGGACATTTTTAAACAAGGTTGATGGATACAGCCTTCCACTCTTTTTATTTTTAAATAAAGCTTATGGGTCTGTATTTGAGCCCCAAATCCTCCTTTTTTATAAAGATGATACTTGGATCTGGAACTTTTGTTTTCAATATGCCAATTTTCTTGCTTATTTATTCATAGGGTGGTGAGAGAACCTAATGAATCCAAATGTCCCTAGGTATGCTGTAGTTCAAAGTACCGAATTAGAAAACCCAAGTCCTACTCCTTATATATATACATTTATAATTAAGAGATCAATCTCTTACTCACTATGTTGACATAATAGAAGTCTTTAAAGATATTGGAATTTTAAAAGAGTACAAGTAAGTTCTCATATAGTAATTTTTCAGGAAGATCCTTTAATATCACTTTGAAAACAAATACTTTAAACTAAACATACAGCTCAGAGGATGAACTCAATTTAGGGTTTGGACATTTTTTCCGCTAAACCTTTAAATACACTAATAGTTACTATTTAAGGGCTAGACAAAAACAAAAATGTCTTTTCTCATATTATTTATTATTTTAGGCATTATTGAAGTCCAGCATCTACAATGGAATTCTTTAGACATCAATTAGAGATGCTAAAAATATCAAAATATTACTGCTAGAAGAGTTCCAAATACAGGTAAGGCACATTGGTATTATTCAGACATTTTCATTCTTTTCTCTTCTTTTTAGCTTTAGATTTTAACAGACCAGAATGTCCATTTTCCTCCTCAAAAATTTTTCTTTTCTTTTTCTTAGATTTGCCATGATCACTATGATAACCACTGGAGTCACTGGCATGCATTCCCACCTCTGCTCCATCTTGCCCATTCTCTGCCTCGGGCTTATCATATATACCATGATCATCTTCATCATCACCACTATGCATTTCTCTGTCTTCTATCCCAACACTTGATATATCAACTTCCATCTCCTCTGAGCCAATATGTACATCACAATGTTTTTCATACTTTTTCTTGCATTTTTCCTTCAGCATCTCTTCTCCAAGACTAAAAATAAAAAAATAACTGAGAAAACAACTTTTACAAGACTAGTAAATACCTGCAGTTATACAGAAGCAAAACACTGTACAATTTATCCAAAGTTATTCATACCTGACTGTTTTCAATTGTAATAATACCCTCACATCTAGATTATCCTCTATCTTTTAAATGGACTATTCTGACATATCCTTTAAATAGAAGATAAACAAACATTTTGGGACACAAACCATTATTATTATTGGTAGAAATTTTTCCACATTTTTTTTTAAATTATTTTAGATCTCACATACTTTTCCATTAAACTTTTGAGAAATAAATGAGATCTTAAAATTTTTGTGATATGCTATATAATAAAAGAACTTTTGTCCTTAAATCTTATATTCATAATCAAGCCACTCTATTTTGTAAAATGTATGTATTACCTGTTTTTACAAAGTTTTCCTCGAATGCAGAATACTCCAGCAGAATCTGAATCAAAATGTAGCACCTTAAATACCAGTCTAATACCTATTTGAAAACCAAAGTTTTTCCATTCTTCTGTTGTTATGTGATCTGGTTTGGGGATAGAAGCATTGAAACATTCATGAACCAGACAGCCAATATGGCTAGGTGCCACTTTATTAATTATACCCTGGAGAAGGAAAGGAAAAAAAGAAATGTTAGCACCATATCATTTGTTTTGGGAGAAACTATACTATTGTTTCTATCAATATTTAGCATAGGTACATACCAAAAACAATGGTACCTCGTTACTTGACATTAATTGATAGAGAAGCATGATGGGAAGTAAAAAAATATGAGTGCCAAACAAACCAGGTGACAAACCTGGTTTGTTTTGGCTATCCCCCTATTCCTTTTGCAACTATATTAACAGCATGGGGGACTTCCTGTTCGCTCTTTGCTTCTATCCCCATCTTGTTTTGCATGCAGAAACTACAAATACTGGGACAATATTTTCACATCAAAATGCATTGAGTACCACATTCAATGAGTTTGGAAAATAGTCAAATACCAAGGTACCACTATATATGGAACTAAGATGTATTCTTACATATTTTGAATGTTAAAGATACATGAACAATTTATTTTTAATTTTTTAGGTCAACTGGTCCACTATCCTTTCATTCCGAGTTGGTTTTTGCTCAGTTGACTAATATTGCATAAACTCTAAACTGTTTTTCTGTAAAAGATCAACAGTGGAAGTAATTTTTAACAGTTACTAGCCAGAATATGTTACAAATGTTATGAATAAGATCATTTGATATTTTTTCTAAAACATTTAAAAAGATATTTTCGTATAAAACAATTACAGTGCTAGTTTTAGCCCATTACTCTTATAATTAACTAAAGAACCATACCTGAAAAAGGTCAAAGATTGTAAACATTATAACCTAATAAATCACAAAATATAAAATTTAAACATGCTTAAGTATATAATCAACTGTAATAATTTCTTAAATATTGTATGTATCTGAGATGATATATACTATTTATATGTATAATCTAAAGAGTTAGAGTAGCATAGTGATAAAGGTACTGTGCTAGAACCCTGGAGACTATAAGTTCTTGATCTTCCTAAGACATGAAAGAAAACTGACATATTTTGGGCCAGTTGCTTTCTCTCAGCCCCACCCACATCACATGGTTGTTGTAGGAAAAATTAGAATGTGTATGTGTACAATAGTAACAACAGTAATGGTGCACTGATAATTGGTCAAATTATGTTTTATATTTTTAATTATACCATGTATGTTTTATTGTTTTCTTCACTGTATTGTAAATTACTATCGTTGTCATTATTATGGCAGGATAAATCCAATAAATAAAAAAATAATTAATTAAAAAAGCAAATGAACTTACTATGTAAGTTGAGACAACACCGTACAAATAAAAGTACTGAGTTATTTATATACATACCGTAAGTTTTTTTCCTGGCTTAGGCTGAAAGACAACAAAAGTAGCTTCTATATCCAGGTGGATGGCCCCAATATCATCAATTATATCACCCAGTTCTTTAGTTATTTTAATGGCATTATAAGCCACAGGAACTCCTTGAAAACTAGAGGATAAAATAAATAAATAAAATAAACCACTTAACAATATAATCAGCATAAATGTACCTAATGTTAGGAAGAAAACACTAATTATGATCCTTACCATGACAAAGACGTAACAAACAATTCAAATAAATGAAAGTTACACAAATGCAGATTTTATGATTCTGAGAAAAATGTCGGAGTTAGGAGGCCCACTAGTAGTGTACAATATAACAGATGACTACAACATCACTTATGTTACATACCATCATATGTTTATGAACTACTTACAAATGTACTGATTGAAAAGAAGAAATTTCCATCCAAGTTTATTTTGTAGCTAACAGAGGAAATAATGAACACATATGTTCACAACAAATAAGGAATGTACTCTCTTTCTTAAATTAATCCTGTGTTTTTTATTTAAGCAATTTACCTCAACTGTGCCCTTAATGGTTTCCAATGTGTAATGATTTGTAACTAACATTTTAATAAAGGGATTTGTGTAACATCTTAATTATGTGAGAAATTTGCAGAACAAATTTATTTTGTTCCCTCTTTATACAGTGAACTTCAATTGCAAATAAATGATCATTCTTCCCCCCTTCCCCCCATTTACCTCATGTTGGCTACACAGACCTTAGAAGCTCTTTAAAGTGATAAACCAAGATAGCCAATGATGTTCCTGCCAATAAAGGGTTAATGGATATTTTTGGAAGGTCTTAGCAATGGAATGTTCTTTCTACCCAAGTTACTAGTTACTTACTAGTTACAAATGAGATACCAAATTTTTCACTCCTTCAAAAATGTTTCATTCAATTAATCCACTAATGTTGGTTTTACATTTCTTAAAATTACATTTGCGGCATGTTTCACAACAATGCACCGTTTAGATATAATGGGAAAAACAAAGTACAAGGACAAAAAGATATAGAAATACTTAATAGTGCTTATTGAAGTCAATCCTTTAATTTTGGGGGTGGGGAGTATTTCTAAATTATCTTCTGTATTCTTTCTAAGGTATTACACTGAAAAGGAATAGCACGATGGGTTGCTCTATATGTAGGCGGTTTATTAAAAGACTGGTTTTACTGAAAGATATGAAACAAGTCTGATATAATGGCCGTGGCGGGAGAGGGTGAAAGGGGGACTGTAATTTGTTAACTGCCTTTTGTAAGAAAGGTGTCCCGAAATATACTTTGAACTAGGACCCTCGGAACCTGTATTCAGTTTTAGAACCGGAGAACAATAAGACTAAGAGGGAAAATATGGAACAACTTCTAGAAAGTTCATCGAAGTAACTCGCTTTCTCACCAGTTTATCCTTTAGAGCCTGAAGTCTTTAAACGGAGTATTTTTACACGCAATGATGGCACGTACCTATCCGAGTAGCGGCGCAGTTCAGCATCTAACTGCGCGCAAATCCCGGTCCGTTTGCGATTCAAGAAGCGCGGCGGGAGCGCGATATGCCTCCGGTGCTGCACCACCACAAGGCAAGAGTAGCGGTTCTCAGCCAGTGCTCGCACAGCCTCAAAAGAAGGCAGCTCGACGGAGGTGGGAAGGGTCGGCGGAGCATTAGGCGCCGCCGTTGAGGTCACAACAGCCGCCTCAACCTCCGCCGCTCCAAAAGTCGAGCCGGCCTCCATCTTCGCCATGAAAAAAATGGATCACCCTTATGTCCCAAGGCGCCCTCTCTCCTTGCTGTCACTTGGTGATGACGTCATCACAGAGGAGGGTTGTTGTTGTTTTTTGCTGGGGCCAACCTATCAAATGGCTGAAAGTAGAAAAGGAAAAGGAGCTCTTCCTTTTCCGGATGTGATTCAGCGGCCATCTTGTGTGCGGTGGCTTTGCTTACTTACCATCTGCACGTGCGAGAATGGAGACTTCCTCATCCGGTTCTGAAGCTGACAGAGTTGTAAACCTGGGGGTGGCGCTCCATCGGTTGGTCCTGCGATATTCGTGTTTCTAGTCCGGAAGGATTTCTCCGGAAATGGATCTCAGGCAAAGGCGGCAAGGTGGGAAAATCCTTGAGATCACCGTACGTAAGCACTGCTACACGAATCCAGTAATCCAGACGGCTCATAGGATGTGCCCTGGAATTTTATTCCATGTAATAATATAATTTTATATGAAAAGTTGTACAATTTTATGTGAAAATCTATTGTGCCAAGGTTCTTTGCTGGAGAGACCGGTGACCTGATTCACTGATTTATTATCAGTGCTTAAATTGTTTCAATTCTGGTTGGTAAACAATTGGTTGTGTCATCAAGTTGTTTTCGACTCTTAGCAGCCACATAGACAGATTTTGAAAGACATTGTTCTGCAAATAAAGTCCTTCCTATGTCCCCTCCCCCCATTTTTGATTTTTAATGATCATAAGTGGTAACTTGTATCATATATTTGCTCATTTGTTTTTCAAATGTATCTTTCCAAACTTTTTGAAGTAATTTCCTTGTTAAAGTTGCAAAAGTAAAAATATGACATGATTTTGTAGTATCACCCATTTTCTTTGATAATAAACTGCACCAGGGTGTTATAATGCATAAAGTGAGGGACTAAAACTTCGATCCAACTTTACAACTACCCTCTTGTACTCAATAAGGCATCTTTGTTAGTCATCTTCTTTTGAACCCTGCATATTGTGTGTCACGATGGACCAATAATTTGGTTTCTCTGGGCCACAATGAGTGAAGAAGAATGGCCCCGGGTCACATATAAAACACACATTATGTATTAATGTATACAAATAACAAACTTCCTTTATTATTTATCTTGCTGGGACCACATTACTAGCTGTCCAGGGCTGCATGCAGCCTGTGGGCCATACTATGTAGCTATGTAGCTTTTGTTGTAAGAAAGATTATAGGCCACTTTGAATTCCTGGAGACAGCGTATATGAAACAAAATAAAAATACTGTTATAGATTAATAATGGACTCAACTTGCAAATAACATTTATTGATAAATCATTGTCCCAGTTTTACTCACCTTTGCTTTTTCAGATACTTTGAAGCAGAATAAAAATACTTACATTTGTAGTTGCTTTTTCTTCAGGAGTTCAATCCAATATTATTTCATGGGTTGGGGTGGAACAGGAGATGATGAAAATAGTACAAAATTTTATAAGAGTCTCGTTGGCCATTGTAGTAATTCAGATACCTTGAATGTCATCACTACTTTACTTAAAGTAACCATTTCACGTAGCCTGTTACCGGTAAAAGCCCATTTCACATATCCAAAGAGCTTTAACTGAGCTTTAACTATTAGTATTCTCAAACAACCAGTCCTGTAGTAAAATACTAGGTTTAAAAAGATGTTCAAACAAAAAGTATATCAGCATTTTAGGCTTAAAGTTACATGATTTGCAAGACATGACAATGGATATAAATACAGATAATTTTTAAGAGGGAATATTATGTTGAAATGGAAATGGGTTGGTCACATAGCAAGAAGAACTGATGGGAGGACCAAGGCAATCATAAAATAGATCCCAATTGAAAAAGAGAGACCTAAAACAAAGATAAATGAAATCAAGTACTATGGGCCCAATTGGCAAAAAAAAAGTTCAAGACTGTATTGGTTGAAAACAGGTGGAAGAGGCTTTCATCCTGCAGTGGATAGACAATGACCAAAATGATGGTTATTTACAGTATTTCAACTAAAATTATTTTATAATCAATTATTCTATCATCCAGATTTTCTGTACTGTAAAGTGAAAATGACTAGATTCAAATGCATAGGCTCTAATTTATAATTTTCTGATTATGTTTGTGTAAACTAAGGCTCTTTAAACGTGGCAAGTTTAAGACTTGTGGACTTCAACTCCCAGAATTCCTAAGCTAACATGACTGGAGGAGGAATTCTGGGAGTTGAAGTCCACAAGTCTTAAAGCTGTCAAGTTTGAAGACCCCTGGTGTAAACATTACCCTACATTTAGTATCACTTACAATTAAATATTCTTTGTACTGTTTTTAAGCTTTCATTTTTCAACATTTGACTGTGGATAAAAAAAATTCTTCTGTTTTCTTTTTGTAATAAATGCAAGATTTGAATTTTTCATCTCTTTTTCTTATTTCAAACTTCTCTAATCTTTTATGGATAGTTAGATAAACTAAACCTATATAATAAATAGCTGTAATTTAAGAAGGTGTCACTGGGTGGCACACTTGAGCCTTGGATGGATATTCAGTTCTTAGAAATCAATAAACCATTTTCCACCATAATATCAAATTGCTCAATTCAACAGTTCTGGAGAATGTTTACTAAATTCTGGACCTAAATATCTTCAAATGATTCTAATTGTTTAGGTTTGTAGTTTAGGGTTTTCGAGAACAAAGATTTCTTAAGAAAATTGCATCACCTTCACATTCACTTTGTTGATAATAATAGCATTTAGTAAGGCAATGTTGACATCTGAAAACAATCTTTTAGATATTGTGAACTGGACAGTCTGCAAACCATTTTCATTAGCATTTGGAAAATGAAAGCCTCTGAAATTTTATGCTTACTAATAAATACGTAATCTGCAAGTTTGTTTGTCTATTTGAAAATGATTCACACTTGAACTTTCATCAACTATCTCAATATATTTATATTTACTTACTGTCAAACTTCATGTGTCTGGGAAAAATCCATTGATTCTAACTATTCTTCAAATAAATCTTAATTTGTTCAGAAAATTTGTATCTCATCACCATAATACTACTTGGATTTTAACAGTAATTTTAAAAATCCACGAAACATTAAAATCTTTTAAATAGGCACAAAGTTTTAACTTTTTAAAGCATCAAGTTACCAAACCTTTCATGGAATAAAAGAAATGCTTATTTGTAATGGAAAGTCAAGAAAGATGAAAATAAATGGATCTTCAGTAGCGAGGAATTTTTTGTGTTACGAAGAAGCTCTTTTATATTCCAGAGAACATATCTGTATTCTTGCAGATGAAGAATAGGCCACCCTTGCAAATCTTACGTATTCCTTTATTAAGCCTTCTGTCATTACAGTATTTAAGTATTTCATTATAGTATCAGTTCAATACATAACGTATATAATTTTACAGTCTTTAACTATAAAATTATAATTTTATAATATAAATTGTAGTAATTGCTAGAACCTATCATATGGAGGAAGAGATTATTCAAATTGGGATTGATAATTTCATTATTAAGCAAAGAGATCACTAAATGAAACACTGAGTTACTTTTGCATCATTATCATAACTACAAATGTTCTCTAAACGAGGCAGTCATTTCAGGATTCCCAGCACTCAGAACTACATCTTGATTTAAGTTTTGTGGTGGACTATATGGATGAATCATTTCTGAGCTGAAACTGATCTGACTGGTAGCTGGACGAAAAACTAACTAGAAGACTCTGAAAGGTACCATCCAAATTAGAAGTTGTATTGTTACATAATCAATTCCAGAAGCACCAACAAAGTTTTGTTTTATTTTGTTTTTTAAATATTTATTTTTAAGGAGTAGAAACAACCATTCCATATCACTATTGAGAAAGATCTGCCTTTATCATTTTTCCTGCTAAATTACAAAGTCCATCTAGCAATTGTACTGCAATCAGTCTGTTGTAATAAAACATCTAAATTCGCTCTCAGAAGATTTATTTATTCTTTCTTAAAACATACTACCTCCCCAGCCAAAGTGTGCTGATTGGTTGTAGTGAATTGTAGTGGAATGCACTAAATGTCCATAATATAATCTGCAAAATGAATATATCAATATTTCTTTCTTTTCTATGTATCAACACATTTCAAATAGTTTTATTTCTCTTGGCAAATATATTTTATTTATGGCTTTGTTCTGAACTAAAATAAATTTACTCTGACACAGTATGGGATTGTTCTATCACATATCCAGTGTAAGGAATCTTATGGGATTTCTATCCAGTTTAATGGAATAAAGGAAGTTTGGATAAACTTTCAGATAAAGAGAAATTTGTTCCAAAGTAGCTTGTGACACTATCCATGCCAATATTTCTCATGTCTTCAGAAAAAGAGACTGGAGCCATTTTGTGGAAACAATTCAGAGGAGAAGGACCAAAGACTAAATGCTCATACTAAACTAAACCATGGTTACATAAAATTGGATTACTAAATAAATCACATCTGGAATTGCATACCTTATTGTACAAATAACTGGCTGGCTTTATAAAAAATTTAAAAATAAAATCTCACAATTCATCTGTTAGCTTAAAGAGATGTGTAAACAGATCAATCTGACACGAAGAACAGGATTTTAAGATAATACTTGTTATAACAGAGATGTCAGTAAAGTCTAATCAAAACATCAAGATAGTAGCCATGATTAACGCTGCATCCATTTTTATGTGCCTCACAAATAAAATGCAGATGGAGTTTTGTACATACTGGTTTGACTGCTATTTTAACTTTTTAATTGCATTCCATATTTGGAGCAGCATTCTACTCCTATTATAGAGGGTCAATTGTTGGCTGCTTTTTTATCATTCCAGTTTAAAAACATGTAAAGTGGTCTTTATTTAACAAGATAGATCTTAGTCAATCAATATATTCTTTGTCTTTTTACTACGTTTTTTAAATTAAATCATCCAGGACACCAAATTAAGCCCCACAAGGATTGACATATTTATGCACCGGGGACTGTCCGGAATCAAACATTGACAATATTTGTGAAGTTCAATAAGAATGACACTCAAAAGCAGATTGAAGAGTGGCCTCTTAACTCAAACTATTGTGTTTAAATTAAACTAGAAAATATTAATAGGAGTCAGGCAAATGAGGACTACCAAGATGATGAAGGGGCTGAAAATCAAACTACATGAGGAATGATTAAAGGTTCAAGCTATGTTTAGCCTAAAAAAACATAATGAAGGAGAGAGATGATAGTAATCGTCAGATAAGGGCTATCGTGGAAGATAGCAGGGCTAAAATGAATAAGTTAAAACTAAAAGAAAGTGGGTTGAGTTAAAGCGTTAAAAGAAAGTGAATGTGTCAAAACTAAAAGAAACTCCATGTATTGTCATCCAATGGAACAGACTACCAAAGCAATGAATCTTTCTTTGCTGTAGAGCCTTAGAGTCTGGGTGATCATTTGTCTGAAATGTTCTAATGGATCCTGCACCAAATAGTGTGATAGACTCCAACTGTATTATTCCATATATCAGGAAAATCATCGCATGCATTTTATTTACAAGTAGACCACAACTGAGCTCAAAGTGTTCATTACTAACCAAAGCAGTTAAGTGAGTTGCACCCGATTTGAATGACTTTTTTTGCCACAATTATTAAGCAAATCATTGAAACTGTTAAGTGAATCCTGTGTGTTGGGTATATGGTATGTTGGGTATATGGATACACCAACTGGTTTGGGTGAATGAATAT